TGGTGTCTATATCCTCCTGCCGCACATCAGCCAACTGTTCAGATGATAGTCAGCAGAAGGCATGTTGATGCACAAAAGCAGGTTTTGTGCACAAATGCCAATCTGGAGCTGGACAGAATGTGTCACAGAAACGTGAATCTATATATAACATGATGACAGTAACGGCGGTGAAATTCTAAACCTCCAGTCAGAGCTCATGTTGTCTAATTACTTACACCGTGCACTGGGACAGCCTAACCACATCTGCCTGGATGCGCCCAGTACTCTGCAGTCAGTGGGACAGTTGCCTGGTCTTGTCACAGCTTTTGGTCCTTTCCACTGAGTCAGTGCCAAAGCTCTTGAAATAATGAACACTTGATTGTGTGAGGCTCATAATGGCTCATTTGTCTCTCGCCTCTGTCTGCAGTACATGCGTTTCATATTCAACCTGAACAGTTGTTGTCTGTTTTTGTACCATGCTTGTTTAGCGGCTGTTTCCAATGGTGACTGAAGCATTTTGATTTAAGTTTGCTCAACATGCTAAAATAGCTGTCGTGAAAATGCTACAAGCACAAATACGATGAAAACATCATATACAGTCTTTTGTGGAACATGGGATACGTTTTTCTCACATTTAAGCCAAATTTACACTGAGATAAATTTCAGCAGAAAAAGCTTGCTAGTATCGAAAAAACTACTAATACATGTTCATTAAAACTGCAGTTGATGTTGTTGAACTGAACCTGAGGTGCACTTTTGAAATCAGATAGTGAAAAGCAGATGGCGTTGAAATTTCAAAATGCCAATGCTCAAGTAAAATAGGCTTATTGCAAAAGTTGTCAGCACTTTAAAGATGAATTATTTCACATCAAAGCCACATTTTTAAGGATTTTCCTTTTCCTGTAGATGTGGCACAGAACTTTGGTGTTGTTCTGTGCAGAACACAAACTGATAATAATGTTGATTTAACATTTAAAGTTGTCGGAAGCTGAATGTGTTTGTGAGTCATCGTACGTCTCTCATATCGAATACTTGTTGATATGCGTGTTTGTTAAGCCGAGGATATCATTACGAATAATTGCTCTGCCAGGCGGCGAGCAGAGGCATATTGATTGTTCTAAATGCTGGACTAGAAGTAAAACAAATTGCTCTGCAAATGCTGGCCCAGGCAGTTTCCACAGTAAACACTGTGAGCAAGAAGACCCAACGTCAGGCTCCTTAATTCCAACATTAACCAAAACCCTCTTGGGGAAACTATTTGTTGTTAAGCATAATGTCAAAGGGTTAAGCTTTGGTCCATTTTGCTCATTGTTTATTAAAGCAATGTAAGCAGGACAACACAAAGCAGCTATTATTTGCCCTGTGAAGATTAACACCACTTCATATACACTGTGATGTGGTGAGGTTGTACATGATAAAGTAAAAAACCGTTCCTGAGCAGCTCAGTTCCAATGTAGAGTTTGAAAGAGCTCTCACTTTGAGTTTCACTACATTAATTCAGCCCATGCTGAACTATCGGTGCAAAACCCACCCATTTGCGGTGCATTCAGCTCGCCAGCGAGTCAGCGCGTTAAAAGCCTAAGTGCACCGACGCCTGTGTGAGGCTAGGGTTTCAGACTGCATCATATCCCTGACCGGTTATCACGTCAACTCTTTTTACAGTACGCAGAGACAAAGAGTGCAGCACAGACACACTCGCCGTCCATTACTCCCACCCGTGCCCACTCCTAAGTGAATTCCTATTGAACCCCAGCAGAGTAAAGTCTGTCTTCTCTTAATGCGCTGACTGGATTGACCAGATGCAGTGGCATGAATTCACATTTGGAGTTTGGGTGGTGCAAATCAAAGTCCTGCAGCACTGCTGAATTAGACATGCAAAGTTCAAAAAGAAGTCATCCAAATATTGTAAATAACCTTTAACGTTCGTTTTTTCATTAACAATTTGTTCAGATATATTTCCAGTAGGTTTTGGAAAATGATTAAGCAACATGTCTGAGAGGGAAGTGTTGATGTATTGAAAAAAAGGGGCTAACAACAAAGACAGGAACATATTTTTTTCACATATCTCTTGATAGCTAACAAGCTATTGACAGCTTATGTATTTCTGCCTTAACTGCAGTGTAAAAATCATTACCTTCATTTTGGTATTTACTATTGCAACTAAAAGACAAGCAAAAATAAAAAATAAAGAATGCAAAGCGAATACAACCAAAATTCCCCTATTTCAGTTTGATATATATATATATATAAAAAATCCATGTTTTCTTTGACACCTGATAAATTCACACATTTTTCTAGCTTCCAAGCATACATGTCATGCAAATATATTCCCAAGCATAAGCTATCATTGACACATACGAGCGGCTCCCCTCCCAGCATCTCTTGACAAAGTCTGTTCTTTTCGGCGTGACCTTCTCAAAAAAGGATTTTATAAAGTTAAGTCAGTGTGCAGGAGCCAGAGTGCTTTCTGATCTGCCAGAGGCCTGTGTATCACCTGCATAGCATCTGAAATATTTAGACAGCTGGAATGAAGCGCACAGGAGAAGGTGAGATTGACTGGTCGCCAGGAGAGGGAAAGCTGGAGATGAACGTGTCGAGAGAGAGAAACAGAGTGGTTAAAGCAGAGAGCCGAGTGGAAAAGGCAGACGTGTTTGTGCAGAGACTACCTGACAATAATTGTTCCCTCCGACAAAACATCGGTTTCAGAGGGATGTATAATTGAAGGATTCTCAAGGACGTAAATGGCTGCCTGCTGAGGATGTATGATGTTGGGGGAAGGGAAGCAAACGGGGGGAAATGAGGGGAGGAAGTCAGCAGGCCTTTGCTTGTGATGCCTGTTGTCATGTGCACGGACTGGTTCTTGACACAGTTAGCTTGCGCCTAACAGAATTCACATGTCGGAGAACTCTCTTTATTGTCGCTTCCGAAAAGTGGAACGTGAACAATTGGCTCTAAATTAAACATTGCAGGCTACGTTAATACAACGCTATTCAGTTGAGGGGGTGCCATTTTTATTAATAAATTCACAACCCCACAGTCTACGACCATTTTCACTGACACTAATGTTCTAATGTGATATGCTGAGAGGGGGGAGGTGGGAGGCAAAATGTCAATTTTCTGTAAGAAATGTCACTCACACAGTGTGTTCTGGATCACTTTGACTAACGATTAAAAGCATGAGCTTTTCCTTTTAATTAGAACGTATTGCAGATATTTCTTTAGCTATGATTGATTTTTTTCCCCTCTCTTTTTGCCACTTGATATTTGAAAGGTTCACTTATCCTCAAGCAGGCTTTAGGACCACAGCTTACAGAGTCGCCATCCTTTTTTTGTATGTTCCTAATGACACATTCCCTTCCATTACACTCATTTGACTTGCTCTTGATTCTGCCCAGTACCCAGTCAGCCAATCACAGAGCAGAAGTAGGTGCAAACACACACTTCCTCTGCAGTTGTGCTGGGGAATTGTCAGGATCTCCCTCAGCTGTATTTTGATATCCAGAGCTATCCTTCAGCTCTGTAGCTGTGTTGTTTTATGGGGGGAGAGAATGGGATTTGCCTGTTATGCACGCGTTTTTATTAGAGGCTAAAAAGTCTGGGTCATTATCCACTTCATGCCGCAGAGAGGATTTGACAGAAAAGCTGGCAAACTGTACAAAGAGCTTGATGCGGTTTGCTAATCTGTGGTTATGTCCGTTGCATTTTTCCTGGAATGCTCCTCCACCACTTCATAGAAAAGATATCCAGGACACACACGCACATACACACACAGGTCCAAGCGTATACACGGAATTAGTGTTTAAGCTGTCCATAGAGGGCACTTTTAAAAGAATGTTTTCACTCATTACACGAGGAATTTACGCTTTTGCTTCATCTCCCTGCCAGTACTGAGTTATTTGGCTCAATTGTTTACTGATTACGTCCTCCTAAAGATGATTGAATCTTCCTTCTTTACATTACTGTGTGGCTGTATGATGTATATATACATATCTATATAAATATATGTGTGTGTGTGTGTGTGTGTGTGTGTGTGTGTATCAGGTGACATCAAATACAGCAAACACTGGAGAGTTTTGTGCTTTGTCCCTTAATCTCTTTGTCAGAGGATTAAATATTTTCTAAAATGAAATTTTGAGTACTTACCATATTTCAAAGATGGTTAAGCATTTATAAGGGCTATCTCAACTCAAAATATGGTTCTATAACTTTTTAAGCAAATAAAAGATGTAAAGCTCTCCATAAAATATTAATATTGTTCCAACTGAAATTATGAAGCTTCGGGTTAAAAGAAGATGTCAATTTCAGAGTTGGAAAATAAAATCATAGATGAAGAAACTGTTGCTCGATGACAGAGAAATCTTTTCAGATAGCTGTTTCCTAAAATACTGCCATTATAAAATGTAATTTGTCAACACATTAAGAAGTTTTACCTGAAATGTTCATTTTGCATGAAAGTTTATGGAGACTTGGAATTTTTTCTGTGTTGAAAGGCCTTGAAAACAAAAAATGGTCAGCAACCATTCAGTGTCTTTTAACAGTTTCCAAATGCCTGAAGCCATTTGCAAAGACATAATCTGGACAGCTCAGGTTTTTGGCTGCAGTGAGCAAATTAACGCGTGAAGACGATATATGCAGAAATACATGAAAAGGATACCCAAACAGTAGACTGATCGGGCTTTGAGTTCGTTTGTCATTTGCAATTCTTTCACTCGACTTGTAACTGTTGCATTCATTTATTGATGTTTAAAGTGGCAAATGAGGAGAAGGAAAAAACACGAACAGGTCAGATCAGAAGTGGGAGAGTTCACCTGTGTTGACATGCAGTAATGTGCGAGCTCGTCATGTTGAGAGCTCTGCAATTTCGTGGCGAGTGAGTGGCCAGTCTCCATCATCCCCGCGCTGTCTGTCTTCACACTTAGCCCGAACACTTGCTGATATGTGTCGCACATATGCTCCCTCTCCTTCACCGCCTCAGCTCGCACTGCTCGTGGTGACTCAGTTCTCTCCCTCCTCTCCCCCCCCTGTTTCTCTCCCGCCTTAGATCTCATCTGATGCCAAGGCTGAAGGAGTCTCGCTCCCATGAATCACTGCTCAGCCCCAGTAGTGCTGTGGAAGCTCTGGACTTAAGTATGGAGGACGAGGTCATCATCAAGCCTGTGCACAGCAGCATCCTTGGGCAGGACTTCTGCTTTGAGGTAAGGGGACATACATAGTGTCAGTAAAATTTGAATGCATTTTTCAGGACAATGTAAAAAAATGCTGCTAGCAAATGTTAATTTGGGAAAATCAGGAGACGATGGCAAGCACCCGTGCTCATGGCAAGCAGAAAACAGCCTCCTGAGTCTCCCTGTCATAGTCTCCATGTTGTTTCTGCACAGACTTTTGAAATATTTTATTGCTGTCCACTGACCAAAAACTGCTCTTGAGAGCGCATGAGTGGATACACCAAAATATTCACACCGATCTGACAGCGTGCTCAGTTCGCTTTTAGTAGATATTAAGGGAGAAATATTATGTGGTGTTCTTACAGGCGGACTCAAAGTTTCTCATGAAATATCTTTGACATTTGGTCAAACTAACACAAAGTGGCCATGCCAGTTTGGGTTCATTTGCACTTTATTCAGGCGTATTGCGTCAGGGTGTGGGAGAGAGCGCTTTTCTCTGAGTGCCGCTCATAAATAGTTGGCTAGCACAGATCCCACGGCAAATTGATAGACTGGTTTTACTCTCAAGTGCTCCCAGTTTCCTTGTCTCTGGTATTTTTCTGGTCCCTCCTTTAGATGCCATCTCTTCTTGGGAACGTGTTAAGTTGTTAAAACATTTACTACAGAACATAACAGCCACAGGCTGATTAATAACCATTATCGTCTGTATCGGCTCCATTAATTTGACTGTCGCTCCATTCCTCTCCGTTTTAAGCATTCAGCAGTTAGCATTAAGGACGATTGTTTACAGGGATGATATTTCAGAGATGTCTCTTTTTGAAACAGCCGATAAGGGAACTGCTGGTTTTGATGGAAATTGGATTTCTGTCTTCCAGACAGTCCGAAAAAAATTTACAAATCAATTAGGAGTCAAATTTCCTTGTTGGGATATAAAACATAAAAAAAGAAATACTGGCAAATCAATAACAGCTCTTTTATCTCTCATATAAAGGAAAGTGATGAAAGTAATAATGAGATCTGACGATCATATCAAAGCAAAAAGTAAGTGCAGCGGAGCAATACAAAAGAGTTTCCCCTTCAAAACGAACAGTGTCCAGCATCATCACAGTTAAAGTTAGGACGCGCTTTCTAGCACGTTAAAGTGACGTGAGAATGACAGAAAGGGCTCACTGCGTGCCCCATAGTTAAATGTAAGGGGCCCAAAACAAGCAGGTGCTGTTTCTTTATATGTACCTGTTCAAATGGACAGAAAAGGTCAATTATACATAATTCTACCTAATTGTTTGCAATTAAAATGGAGTTAAAGAAAATAAAAATGGGTTAATTTCTTTCCAACATGACTCCTTACATGCATAAGAACTTGACAACTTTATATTGAGGGAAAGCAATGGAAAATAAGTTAGGGATGTTTGGAGTCAAATTACCATGCTCTTCATAGCAACGAGCTAATAATGCTTTTTTAATGATGTACAACACATTTCACTCAATCAACATAGAGTGTAAGAAATATATTATGAACCAACTAACTGTAAATCTAATATGATATATGGTTACCTAGTTGAAGACATCATTTGTGCCTTTGTTTTTTAGTATAAGTGATATTTGACACATCAAATATCTAACTTTCCTGACATACTCATGGAGGAGGCTACAGTATCTACAGCCATCAGTGTCACTTCATGTAATAAAGCTAATATTACTCATTTTTATTGAATCTTGACCTCATTTTTAATGCTGTCTCTATGTCCATGCACTCTGAAGAGAAAGTCCAAAAAATAGATTATGTACTGTAACAGTTTCAGACATTTACATAATTCAGACAACCTTATAGTAAAGAAACACTAAGATTGTGTGTTTTATTCACCAAATTTGGCTAAAACTCACAAAGAACAATAACCAACCTGTGTTAGAGCCTTTGATTCAGTTATTCAGATTCCTCTGGCTGTATCTTTATTCCTCTTGGATCATGAGTCTCATCAGTGTTGTTGGAAGTCACTGTGTTCCTAAACTGACTGTGTGCTATTGCCAATGGGCCAGATTATATAGGGGTGAGTGAACACAGGGCTGAAATTTATCAGTAATCAGTCTTTCATCAAGAAATGTTCACAAAGTGACAATATTGCACTGTATTTATAGTTTATTAGCATGCATCGCAGATGCCCAGATGAAGCCAAAGACTAACACCTGCGGTACTTTTAATTAGTTTGTTTCTGGGTCAAGAGAAAGTAATGACTCAAGTGTTTCCCTCTCATTTCCAACAACAAAACGCTGTGTCTGTCTGTCCTCTGCTCCACAGAGACAGAGAAAGAGAGAGAGAAACAGAGAGAGACGGAGACAGAGAGAGAGAGAGAGATTAAGTTTCCTCTTAAATTGTGAGATGATGAATTCCGTCATTCAAAGTGACTGGATCAAAATAGACAGAAAAGGACTGACATTTTCAGATTTGAAAAGGAAAAAACAAAGAACTGATTCAAACATAAAGAGCTGAAACCTTGACAACATTTTGTACTCACTCTAATTAATTTGCTGATTGTTTAAGAGTAAACAAGTATTTAGTTTGAGTCTGAGATATATAAGAAACTAACCACTGGGGGTCTGATGACAGTTTATTATTCTATTATCAAAGCTATCAACTAGTGTATTTAGTCATGTAAATTTAATAAAAAAGATGTAATTATTGAATTATACAATGTTTTTGTTAATTTTCTAGTTCCTTGGATGGAATCATTGACAACACATCAGAAAAGAGGATAGAATTGATTGTTATGGGTCATTTCCATGAAAAAATGTGTATTTTCTAATAAAATACACAGAACTATGTGGTTCGTGCTGCTTCAACTGCACACCACTCTAAAGTGTTTTATCGGACTCAAATTGATGTTCATGGATTGTGCAGGATGAGTCATCAAGATTTGTAATATTTCGCTGTATACTAATGACACAATTTGCAAAACAGGACAGTGAATTTGGTTTCATGGGAACGTGAATCAAAGTATGTCCTGATCTCTCCTCTTGCATTTCCTCCGTGCATTTTAAAGCCTCCCAGAGTCACCTTCATTGTCCTCGTAGCTGCTTTTGTGTGCGTTTGCTTTCTCCTGAAAGTCCTTTGCTGTCAGACAAAGTGACGCTTCTGAACCGAGATCAGTAAAAAAAAAAAAAAAACGTTAAAACACCTGCGTCTGCCGTTTTTGTGCGTGAGGCATTTACTGTCTTTCTGTGTCTCTGCGGCAGGTCACCACCTCCACGGGAAGCAAATGTTTTTCCTGCCGATCATCCGCGGAGAGGGACAAATGGATGGAGAATTTGAGGAGAGCGGTACAGCCAAACAAGGTATGTGACATGCAGGAGTCCAAGGGGCAGCGAAGGGAGACGGGAGTCAAGAAAAAAGCAGCCCACACTTTGCAACAGTGATAGAGATGCAGACTTCCTCAATACTCTGTTCTAATTCATAAAACATCACTTTGTTGTTTTTTTTTGTTTTTTTTTCATCTCTTCTGGCAAATGTGAGCTGAGCTTTTGGAGGAGGCGCAGAGAAACACTTGAGGGATTTCTTCTTTTGTCTCTTGATTACTCTCTGTAATCTCGACCAAACACAGCTGTTGCAGGGGTTTATGTGGCAAACGTGGCCAGCCAAGAAATCAGCCTAATCACACAGCATCTTCACTCCCGCATCCTGTCATTATTTTGAAAATAACCTACTAATTAGAAGTTTGGGGGGGAATAGGTCCCAAGCAGCGATGACACTGTGTCATTTCAGTCCCTCTATTTTTACGTTACATTTCCGTAATTAAGCTGCCTTTTTCATTAATTGGTTTGGCTAACAAAGAATCTGAAATTGATAAAAAGTGTTTTTAAATTCAGAAAATCCTCCTTTACTACTTCTCATGATTTGCTGTGATAATGCCATGACATATTCAGCTTTCAGTTACTCATATCCCAAGATAGAAAATAATATAAAACTTTATTGTTTCAAAAAACAGAATAACATAAACACAAGGAAGTCTTTTTCTTTCCTTTCCTTTTTTTTGCTTGTCTTTTGCTATAGGGAATGATGTTACTGTGTCAACTAAGAGAAATCTGTATGTTTCTCCGGTGAGGCACCACCATCCCATGAGACACTATAACTGAAAACACAAAAAGCTATGTCCTCCAAAGTGAATGGCATAGTAAGCTGTCAAGTTGTGCACAAGACAGCACATCAGGCATCTTGTGGGGATACGAGTGGGGAAAGAAAGTTTTTGCTGATTCCTCAACGGATTTGATGAGTGACCTGGATAAATGCACAACGGTGACCACCTAAAAATCACCAAACGCATAGAGAAACAAGACAACTATGTGATAAAGGGATGGAAAATGTTTGAATGCAAGAGGCAGAAGATTAATGTTGTGTAATTTCTCAAGTGGAAAAGCAATTTTTTTGTTGAGAAAAATCAATGTCTCCCAGAGATACTGAAGCTTTAAAGATGTCCAAAAAGGGCACTGACCTGTCTATGAAAGCGGAGGGAAAAAAAGATACATTTCTCTTTTCATTGGAAAGTATGTGGGACCTTTTCATCCGTTTTGCACACTAGGAAAGGAAAATAAAATCACAACCTCTATTTCCATCTGTGAGGATTTTCACCCATCAGGTCAAAGCAACCAAGTACCCAAAGAGAGGGCTCCTGGACGGCTTTGACTGGGTGTTGAAGCGCCTTTGTTGTGGATCACTGGATTCTGTGTGTGTGGGCGGCTCCCCATTGATAAGTCGGAACCGCAGAGAGTTTTTGGAGAAACATCTTTAGGGATCGATAAAAGTGTTCCATAGGAACACTTAACCAATTGACACTGATGGAAAACAGAGCGGTGTCCCCTCACCTTTGATGTCTGATCCGTGCCGTTTGGAACAGACTGACAACCTGTCGTTAACACTGGGATGGAAAATTTGTGGATCAAAGAAATGGTCTGCTCTCACTCTAAGATATGTGATATGGGAATTTTTTTTCTGTGTTGTTTTTGCAGTGAAGAAAAACTGACCTCAAACAGCACATCGTAGAAACTTCTGCCTGATCACTCTTAACATGTTTTTTTTGGGGGGGTGTTTTGCTCTGAATTTAGAAGCTACCATTAAATATTAGGCTGCTTTTTCTGGCTAAAGCTGACCAAGTTAATCAATAGTTAAAATAAATAAATAAATAAATAACTTCTTTGCACACAGAGTTACACCATATCTTAACAAAACTATCACAATGATACCATATATAAGAGGATATATCATATATCCTCTAATTCTTCAACTTTGTGCTCCCACTTTATATAAATCATTTGCATGAAAATGCAAATCCCTAACATCCCATCAGTAAAATGGCTCCTGAACATTTGATATGAAGTTTTTGTTGTTGTTTTGGAACTTTCTAAAGCTGCCCAAAGCATTATATGCAACCATATGATCTGTTGTTTCTTTTCAATATTGTCATTATTACCTCATCTCTTCATCCTCCGAGATAGTTTTCAAGGTAATCTGAACAATGGGTCCCCCCCCCCCCCGAGATTAAACCAGTGGCTGTCATTCTCTTTTTCTAGGACAACAGTCGTCGGGTGGAAAACATGCTGCGGCTGTGGATCATCGAAGCCAAGGACCTGCCGGCCAAAAAGAAGTACTTTTGCGAGCTTTGCCTTGACGACTCACTGTACGCCCGCACCACCTGTAAGCTCAAGACTGACAATGTCTTCTGGGGAGAGCACTTTGAGTTCAGTAACCTGCCTGCCGTCAGGAGCATCACGGCGCACCTCTACAAAGACACGGACAAGAAGAAAAAGAAAGACAAAAACAACTACATCGGACTTGTCAACATCCCCGTCGCCGCCGTCACGGGGCGGCAGTTCGTGGAGAAATGGTATCCAGTCAGCACTCCCAGCCCCCCTAAGGGCAAAACGTCAGGGCCCATGATCAGGATCAAGGCCCGCTATCAGAGTATGAACATCCTGCCCATGGAGATGTACAAGGAGTTCGCAGAGTACACCACCAACAACTACATGCTGCTGTGCTCGGTGCTGGAGCCGGGGATTAGCGTCAAGAACAAGGAGGAGATGGCGTGCGCGCTGGTGCACATTCTGCAGAGCACCGGCAAGGCAAAGGTTGGTGCTCACGCTTTAAATTATTTTCACGCAGCACTGGCTTTTGCTCCCCCGCAGAAATGTCGGATTTAAAAAAAAACACAATACGGGGGCCCTTTATCTTACCAGTAGGTATTGACTACACAATGTAAAAAAAATCGTCTTGTGAACTACTGACCTCCCACGGTTGTAATGCGGAGCAGACAAAGCTCGGACAGACAGGTGATTTCATTTTGCGGCTTCAGCCTGTATTACTGATTTTAACCCGAGCTAATCCCCTATATGTGTCTCCCGCAGTGCCTCGTGGCATGCCGATGGAGGGCCGAGCACAATGCGCCCAGAGCTGCTCACAGCACCGCTAGCACAGGGAGATTAGTCCACCACAGCTGTAGCTAGGGCTTCCGTGACAGTTTTAGTCGAGTAATCCTCCATCCATCTGAAAACACGCAGTTTGATTTCACCCTTGAAGCAAAACATTTGACCCAGAATATAGAGAAATGTTGTTGTTTTTTCGCGAGTAATTTAAATAAATCACATTGCTTTGTGTCTGAAAGTATTTTTATGAGTAGCAAGATATTTAAGAGCAAGTAAACCCACTGAATTAAGGTAAAATTATTATTTATTGTTCATCAAAACTTTTCTAATGATGCATCTAATAGCAGAGGTGTTTCTACAGAGAAAAGGCAGGAGAAAGCTATCGCGATAACATTCATTGGGATGTTGCATCAGGCTGCTTTCATGTCTGCAGCTTTGGCTTTGCTTCGCTGCCTTGTCAGTCTCCAGCAAAAGTTTATGCCTCATTTTGGGCTTTTTTCTTGACAATATGTCAGAGCTGTGAAAGTTTCTTTGACTTTATCGCAGCAGGACGGTGTGCTGAATGATTGGTGCTTAAGGAGTGATGTCTATCCACTCCGTACCGCCAGTCTGCTGGTTTAGCTCGGCATAGCTGATAGCTGCTTATTGATGGGGGAGAAAGGCTCCAATGGTCCCCGGGGAGAAGGCTTACATCCTCATTACTTTCGGTTAATCCACCGCTCCCGAGCGAAGCTCCAAAGCATTTACTTTTTCACGTCCTCATCTTCCCCCTCTGTTTTGTGTTTTCTGCTTGCTGCACCTGTGCTTTTCCCTGGCTCCAGAAATGCCTTTCCAGGGGCTGCACGAAATACGTCTGTGGTCAAGAAGAAAATCCTTTTAGTACAAGCTTTTGGAGCCTTCAAGACGTATAAAAAAAAAAAACAGCGGGATTGCTGTCGAAACCTCCACAGCTAACAGCCGCAGTTTTTCTTTACTGAGAAAAGGCTTTTGTCATAGCTGCCATCATAAAAGGTTTGGCCCAGGTCAGACACCGGCAAACTAAACGTCTAAAAACATTTCAGACATAAGAAAAGCTCTGCTCCATGTATTCTTTTTTTAATACTTTGCTGTGTAATTTGTTCTTTCGCATTTCTATACAGAAGCCACTGTGCTGCCCACTTGGGTGCGGCCTTTCTTGAAGTTATATTTAGGGAGCCGAGACATTGATTTGACTTACAGTAAACTGAGGAAAATCCTATAGGCCCGATCTGAAGGCCTCTGCAAACGCTGGAGAGAGAGAGAGAGAGAGCCTTTGTTTAGTTTTACTTCCCCTTGTAATCACTTGCACAGTCTAATTCCGGCTCGGCGTTTCAGATGAAAAAGGGGCTGAGGGGTTACAGTGACATGAGACAGTCACATCAGAGCCCAGTGCGTCATTCAGGACACACACAGAGACGTCCTTAAAACTTCTGCAGTCACACAAATTGTCCTTAATCTGCTGCGTGCGGGTGAGATTTAGAGCTAAAACTGCAGGCTGTTGCGTCAATTATTATTCGCGATTTTAGATTTCGGTTGTTTTGTTTTTTTTGTCTTTGGTCGTTTTTTTTTAATCCCCCGCCACTGAGTAATTACAGCTCCGCATTCTGCTCTGTTGCACCCCTCGCTCCTTTTCCTCTTGTTGTCACCCCGTTTTCCGTCTTTGTCTTGGCTCATATCTCTTTCACGCTCCGTCGCGTCTCGAGGCCGAAGCTCTCTGGAGAGATGTCATTATTGATGGTGTGTTGCGCCGTGAGTCCTTGTCGCTCGCACAGATGCCAGCTTCACACAGGCCCACTTACACAGCCATGCCCAACCGCTGGACACTGAGGGGGTCATCGCAGGTCATTTCCTCAGTTTTCAGTCTCCATTCGGTTATTTATAGCGCAGGATTTGGTCAAATTTAGATGAAAGGAAAGGTATGTCTCTGCATCGAATGCAGACCTATTTGATCTGTTTTTAAACTCAGATGGGCGATCCAATTGTGAGTGAAAGATGAGCTTTTATCTTGTGAATCGCCTGAGGAAGTTCACCCTTCTTTTTTTTTTCCCTCCGTAAATACCCACACCGAGGTCGAAATGTCTACGTTATTGATCTGGTCTTCTCAAGACCTTGGCCCCCTCGGGAAGATTACATTCTAAGGTTGTTTATTCTTCTCTCGGGTGCGCCGACTGATAGAAAAACAACAATGGGAAGGATTCACCTTATGATAACTACGCAGGCGCTGTAGTTATCATACCATTCCACGGCTCTTCGGGGCAAACCTAAAGACCTGCTCAAAAGCAAGAAAACATACGGGTCCATACTCCTTTACCATCCTCTACAGTGCTCTGATGTCAGTCTGCAGGATGTTCCAATAGCCTAAAAGGGATTTTTTTATTGAACGCGTAGTCCACAAGGGTCGCTATTCAGTAGGTTTTAGATTTCCCTTTGCTTCAACACACCTGACTCTGATTAAACGGATCACTTCAAAAAGAATAGTAAGCTTTGTTGAAATCTGCTGAAGGTGCATTGATGTGAAATGGGCGTGTTGAAGCAGAGAAACGTCTCAAAACAGCCGGCCGACGATCGTCAAGGGCCGACTTTGCACAGTTTGGTTGTCTTCTCCGGTGATTGCAGTCATTTCGCTCTTTTTTCCACACATGGCGGGCCTGTGTCAGCCTCACCAGGCTGTCTAATAGCTGTAATCTCATAATAGCACGCCATAGAGGAGGTGACCCTTCTCATAAAATGGATGTTCGAGCAGTGGTAACAATTTGAGGACGAATCATGTTCATGGGACGGGGGGGGGGGGAAAGGACATCATATCCTTAAACTGCTCAATAATTCCTGCATGATTTTCTTTTATTGACCGACACCTGACAACACGGAGTGATGGAGGAGAGTCCAGAATGCAAATAGAGCAATCTAGTTTCACCTTGCAGCGACACGTTTTCTGGTTCTGGCATCAAGACAGCAGGAGAAAAAAGGAAACAGCCAGCTCCACAATGATCTGTCAGCACCAAGGTTACGATATTCCTCCCTCCATTTCAGCGTCTCTCCTTCCTGTCATTTGTCACTTCATTTTTCAAGATTCGAAATTCAAGGCGCTTTATTTATCCCGCTGGGAATTGCACGGGTTTGTTTTTCTTTTAACTGGTTTCCAAGAGCTTGCGTTTGTTTTTTCAGGCAATTTTTTTAGTTTATTATAAGAATAGATGTTACAGAAATCATCACTATCATGTTCACGGGTCATAATTACATGTTGATACATCTAGATACATCTTTTTGTATGGGTTGCTATCGTGAAGAGGAGAAAAGGCTCATAAAAAAAATTCCATAGTGGAAAAATATTTAGAAGGACAGTCATTCCAACAAAAAAATCATAGTGTCTGTGTTTGGTATAGCTTCAGGTCCTTGTGTTCTACATACACGACACGTCCGGATCAGAGGTGTCTCTAAATGGTGGCTGACATGTATAATGCATGCTCTTTGCATCTCACTTTGATAAGGATGTTTCCACATACGACTCTCTGCAAACACGCTCGACGTGGTGTCTGCTCAACCTCGGCAGTCTCCCTTGTCTTTGATGTTAATACACCAACAGTTCACTCCAGGCACTGACTGAACTCATTCAGCTTCACGGAGCCTCGGATGTGGTTGCGGATGCTTAATTTTTAGCGAGACGGTGCCAATCTTAGTCTTCCTCGTTAAGGAGCATTACATTTCCAACTGGAGTTTAACTGAAAGCAAGAGTGGAAATGATTAAGGATGTCTCAGTTTGTCAAAATTGATAAGATCTTAAAGAGTTACGCTAATATGAGAATAATCGAACTGGGCAAGATTCACTTTTGATACATTAAAGAGTTTCAGTAAGAGGTGATTTAGATACTGAGAATACAAGCAGCCTGCATTGAGAAACACACATAATGGCAGGAAAAACTTCCATAGCGAGTCAGTAAATCTAATGTTTGGAGATCATGACACTTGCGTCAAGGTCCCCCTATCCAGCCAAACAGGGGTAGGTTTCAGATTTCAGGTTTTCCTGTTTTTGTAGCCAGTAACAAACCTCTGAGGTTTCCCAAGTTGCCAGCCTTATTTCCCATTTCCATTAGGCTTCTGATCCTTTCTGTCAACCCAATGTGACCCTCACAGGAAGCACTGGAGGCTGTAATGCTGTAATACTGGCCACTGGTCTCCAGGGAGAAGCCGGCAGGGGCATGTAATGGTGGAAAGATGAGGAGAGTGAAGGACGGAGTAGTGAAGTAGTTCTGCTTTTGTCAGTTTTTGCCACAGATTATAAAAGCAGGCTTATCAATCAGCACGATTGTTTGTTAGTTCTCGCTATTTCTGTCACACATGGATTTATTTTTCGTTTCACACAAGTGACATTAGTAGTGTCATCATTATTTTAAATGTATTTTATTTTGTTTGTGATTAGGATAAATCAGTATGTTGTTTTAAGATATTTACACATTCTCCAGGGTCAGGCAATTTTTCAGCTCTGGAATTCAGTTGTGTTTATTTGCTTTATATTACAGGCCCAAGCAGCAAAACACAACCTTTCATTTGTTTACTCTTCCTGTCCCCGACTCTATGTCCTACTATAGAGGGGTTGAGTATAACAAACCTTCTTTCATGTGTCCTTTTCTGAAACCTTTGCAATGTTAATACTCATTACATTGTAATAC